CCTCAACAAAATGGATTGACACAGTGGCTGATAGGATGAGCTCAGGCATAGCGAATATTGTTAGGATAGTACATGACGAGCATTGTTTCATTCTGTTATACATAATGACTGCACAAGTCAGACTCAACTCAATGACACCTAAAAACATCATTATAACTTCATTACAGGAAATTCAGGAATAATGAAACGTATCTCAATATAATAAAGTATATATATATATATAATATAAAAATATAATATACTAAAAATATAAGTAAATTGTTGTTGTTAGCTACCATCAAGTTGATTCCGAATATGGATTTTCAAGGCTGTGACCTTTTTGAAAGCAGATCACCAGACCTGTCTTCTGAGGCCCCTCTGGGTGGAGTAGTTTACTTGAAAGTATAGTCACCATAACAATCAAAAAACATACACTTTGCTCAGTTTCAGTAATATTTAATATTTTAAAATAAAATTTATTGAGGTATAATTACATACACTAAAATTTACCAATAAGTTTTAATAAATGTATTCACTCTGTAATCACCACTGTTAACTTACAGAAAAAGTTTCTTGTTCCCCTTTGTAGTCATTCTCCCACACCTTGCCTCCTGCCAGCAAGTAGCCATTGATCTACTTTTTGACAATAAAGATTAGTTTTGCCTTTTCATCCATATTGTGTTTATTAATTCTCCTTTTTTATTGTTAGAGAACATTACCTTGTTGTACCAGTTTGTTTATACATTCACCTGTTGTTGTATTTTTGGGTTGTTTCTAGGTTTTGAGTATTATGAATTAAGCTGTTAAAAACATTTGTGTATAGTATTTTCTTTCTTTCTTTCTTTTGTTTAAGTATCAGAGATTAGAATTGCTATGCAATATGGAAAGTCTATGTTTAACCTGCCAAACTTCCTTTCCAAACATTTTTACCAGTTCACATTATCATTAGCAGTGTTTGAATGTTCCAGTTGCTCTGAATCCTTCCTAGTGCTTGGTTTTATCAGTCTTTTTAGTTTTAACCATTCTGGTGCATGTGTAGTTGTAATATATGCTTTAATTTATACCCAAGTAGCAGAATTAAGGAAAAATTTAGAGTTGAATGATGATAAACTTTTTGTTCTCCATAACACTTGTTAGTCCAGAACAACATTTTACTAAAGATTTTATATAACTCACATTCCAAAACAATGTAAAATTGCATCTCATACATTTCAGCACTATTGTAATTTCAAATTAAAAGTAAGCAAATAGTTCCAGTTGTTTAGTAGCATGAGATAACTTGACATTTCTTTTGTTTTCAAATAATATAATCCAGAATTTACTACAAAACTTACATATTTAGAAGATGGTATACATTTTTTTTTTAGAAGAAAAACTGTTTTAATGATAGATACCTATCACTCATTGAGTACTAATTATATGGCAAGCACTATCCTAAGTGTTTTATAATCTTACTTAATTCTTGCAAAGGGAAATATATATTATTTCCATCTTACAATGAAGGCCATAAGACACAGAGAGATAAGAATTTCACAGGGCCCACTCGACGGCAAATAACAACAACAATAACAACAACAACAAATACTTGAGTGAATAAATTGATAAAAGAATGAATGAATTAGAGCAAAGAAAAAATACTCGAATAAAGAAGTGGGCCTTTTTTTTTTTTAATTACATGCTGTAAACTCTGAAATCTTTTACCTTGACTTTGATGCCTTTGGGTTATTGAAAAATGAAACTATTTACTTCAAAGAACTGACTCCTAAATTATCTATAGTAAGTTTGTAGTTTTTTTAGATAATTTTAGTAATATTTTTTGCCTTATAATGCACAATTTGACTTTTTTTTAAGTATAGCAAAGAAATGTTCTCAAGTATCTGTAATTATAAGGATTTCAAAACATTTATTTTGTTACGCTGAGTGTTGTGATATCCCCAAAAATAAGTATTGTAAATCCTAACCCCTATACCTGTGGTTTGGGAGCTCTGGTGGCATAGTGCCTAAGACATTTGACTGTTAACCAGAAGGCTGGCAGTTCAAACCCACCAGCCACTCTGAGGAAGATTGGGCAATCTACTTCCGTAAAGATATCACCTCAGAAACGTAAAGGAGGGGTCACTATAAGTTGGGATTGACTCAACAGCAGTGAGTTTTTTTTTTAAGTTTATACCTGTGGTTATAATCCCATTTGGGAATGAATTTTCTTTGTTGTATTAATGAGGCAATATCAGTGTAGGATGTGTTTTAAGTCAATCATCGTTGAGATATGAAAAGAGCAGATTAGGACATAGAAGTAAAAACAGATGGTGAGAGATAGATGCCAAGCTACAAGAAGATCACTAAGGAACTGAGAAACAGAAGTTAAGAACAGACAAGGACCTTCCACCAGAGAAGGCAGAGAGAAAAAGCCTTCCCTGAGAGCCAGCACCCTGTATTGGGACTTCTAGACTCCTAACCTGTGAGAGAATAAATGTTTGTTAAAACTACCTGCTTGTGGTACTTCTGGTAGAGCAGCACCAGATAATAAGACATTGAGTAAGGAAAAAAGCCATATATAATACAATTTTAACACAGTATCTGATGTGTGAATTTCTTAATGAAATTTTTGAACATTTTTTTTTTTTTCTTTCCAGGAAGGTTATATTCAAAAGAAAAAGGAGCTGTGGGGAATCTGTATCTTTATTGCAGCTGTTGACCTAGATGAGATGCCATTCACTTTTACTGAGCTACAGAAAAACATAGAAACCAGGTAAAATTTCTCACATAAATATAGGCCTCTACCATTAAAGTAGCTATTTCTTGACTTTCCTCTTAATAGACTTTAGGGAATTAGTGAGAAGTGATAAAATTAAATAAAACATAAAAGACTTGGGACAAATAGTAAATGTACTATCATTCTCTTATGGAGCCTTTAATGAAAGTGCATTTATGCTTTGCTTGCTTAAAAATGTAGCATTTTTTGTCCTGGGAAATTTTTCATCCCGTCTTTCACTATTTATCTGTAAATTTTCTTAATTATAAATAAAGTAGAAAAAAAACAAAGATTTTTTAAAATGTAGGCTATTATATATTAAAATATTTATAAATGTAGTTTACCTTAAAGATAAACTTAAGTAAGGTTCATTAAGCTTGTTTTAGTAAAGTAGATAATGTAATTACATATTTTTGAAACTATATATTCAGCTGTGCATGCAATACAATACTTGACACAATACAGTCATCCTTCTTTTATCAGTGGGTTCTGAATCCATGGATTCAACCAACCATGGATTGAAAATGATCTAAAGAAAAATTCCAGAAAGTAAAATTAGAATTTGCCACATGCTGAGCACTATGTGGAATCCCTGCGAATGAAGTGATGTATAGACACTCTCTGCTGTAGCCTCCTGACATTTCACAGATCTCAGTCTCTTTCCAGCATGCGTTTGAACATCATTCGCCTTGCATCCGGTTCATTTCCTGCTTGTGTTGTGTGCCCCCTCTGTTTCTGTGAAAAATAGCTTCTAAGAAGCAATTTAGCGGTCAAAGCAACCTCTCAAAGGGAGTTAAAGTGCTATTTACGTAACATTTATGTTGTATTAGGTATTATAAGTCATGTAGAGATCATTTAAAGTATATAGGAGGATGTGTGTAGCTTATATGCAAATAGTATTCTATTTTATATAAGGACTTGAGCATCTATGAATTTTAGTATCCATGAGGGGGTCCTAAAACCAATCCACCACAGATACCAAGGGATGACAAAAATTACTTAATAAATATTCTTGAGCTTATAAGCCTATGTTGTTGTTGTTACATGCTTTCAAGTGAACCGGACTCATAGTGACTCATAGTGACTCATAGCGACCCCTCCTTGGGTTTCCGAGGCAGTATCACTACGGAAGTAGATTGCCCGACCTTCCTTCTGAGCAGGAGTGGCTGGTGGGTATGAACTGCTAGCCTCCTGGTTAGCAGTCAAGTGCCTTAGGCACTATGCTACCAGAGCTCCTTATAAGCCTATAAGAGAAGTTTACTTTTTTTTTTTTTTTTCAGTAATTCATGAACTTTATCTCAAGAAATCTTCTGAACTAGGTTAAAATATTTACCTATGATAAAGGAGCTCTGGTGGCATTGTTCCTAAGGCATTTGACTGCTAACCAGAAGGTTGGCAGTTCAAACCCACCAGCTGCTCCATGGAAGGAAGACTGGGCAATCTACTTCCATGAAGATTTACCACCTCAGAAACCCAAAGTGGGTCACTATGAGTCGGAATTGACTTGATGGCAGTGAGTTGGGTTTGGTTTTTGGTTTACGTATGATAAGTATAGTATGTGTTTGGAACATTTTTTTTGTTAGAGCATCTCTCCTTACTCTGATAACTATTCAGGAATGTTAATCCAGGCCACTACTTCTCAAACGTTCTGTGTTAAAGGATCTTTTATTTCCAGTAAGCCATGGACCATTATTAAAAAAGCAACAACAAATGAATTATTAGAAAATGAAATACTAAAAGGACTTACTAAGCTCAAGCCCAATTTTTTTTTTTTTAATTAGATTCAATAGGCATAAAATTACTGTCAAATTGCCATAAAAGTTTCTGAATGCTTGCTCTCAATTTCTATCCTTATTTCGTAGTAGACTGGTAATAAACGGTTCACAGACTAGTTTTAGTCTATGGAGAACATGTTAGTAAATCACATTGTTCTAAACTATGTGTTTTGATCATGCCTCTTTGAGATTGTGGATTTTCTTCTTTCCTTTCTTCACCCCGTTCTTCCTCCTTTCCTCTTTGGGGGATGGGGGCAGAGGAGAGGAGCTATAGAATAAAGACTTACTTGAGTTACCCCTACAAAAAGAAGGTTTTCTTGTAACAATCCAGTTTTTGTGGTGCTCTAAGGACAGATACTCCTATACTGTATACCTTATATAAATTGAACTGAGAATGGCTCTTGAATAATGCTATTCTAAGATTTCTTTTACTTTGGACATACCTGCACATCTCTTTTCTAATCAGCTTCCCAATCTTCTACTCCATATCTCTACTCCTTTATTTGCTTTTCCACATAGTTTATCATGGCTACTTCAGTCCCTTCTGTATCATGGGAACTTTTTAATAACCTTCCTTTAGATTCTGTGCCACTGCTGGTCAACTAAGCCTTTTATTTTGCCAATTCTTGAGATAGGTGCCTGATTGGACCAGTCCATCTTTTTGAAAGAGGGCTATAACTCACTGGTTGCTGGATAGCCTATAGATGAGTCTGGTAACTCTCTTTTGGTTCAGTTCATTGCTTTCATATAATTCCTTAGACAAACCTGATTTGAAGTGTGTGAGGTGCCATTGATGATTGTTACCATTATTAGTGCCCTATTTTTGAATGGTGAAAGTGTACATATTGATGTTTCAAATAGATTTAATTTAAAAAAATACTTTATTGTGGTTTAAGTGAAAGTTTACAGAACAAATCACTTTCTCATTAAGCAATTTATGTATAGATTGTTCTGTGATATTGTTTGCAGTCCCCACAATGTGTTAGCATTCTCCCCATTTCCACCTTGGGATTCCTGTTTCCATTTGCTCGATTTTCCTGCCATCTTAACTTTGCTTTTAGACAAATGCTGCCCTTTTGCATTTGTGTAGTTGATTGTTCTGAGAAGCATGTTCCTCCCAGGTGGTGTTGTTCACTTTATAGGCCTGCTTTTTATGTGTCTGAAAGGTGATCTCTGGGTGTGGTTCTGTTCTAAATTAGAAGGATATCTAAGGGCCATAGTCTTGAGGGTTCTATTAGTCTCTATCAGATGAGTAAGTCTAATCTTTTTTTATGAATTTGAATTTTGTTCTCCCTTTATTCCCCACTTTATCCAGGAGCTCTGATAGTGTAGTGCCTAAGGCACTTGACTGCTGACCAGAAGGATGGCGGTTCAAACCCACCAGTCACTCCTCGGAAGGAAGGTTGGGCAATCTACTTCCGTAGTGATACTGCCTTGGAAACCCAAGGAGGGGTTGTTATGAGTTAGGACCGACTCAATGGCACATAACAACAACAACATCCAGTATCTCCTATTGTGATCCCAGTCAGAGTTGTAGGTGGTGGTAGTTGGGCACCATCTGGTTCTTCTGGTCTGAGGTTGGTGGAGGTTTGTAGTTTATGAGATCTATTAGTCCTTGACTAATATTTCTTTGACTCTGTTTTTCTGTCTTCTTCTTTGCTTGGATAGAAAGAGACTAATAGTTGTAACATAGATGGCCACTTGCAAGCTTTTAATATCAAAGTAGGATGTAGAACATTATCTTTATGGGCTATGTTATACCAGTTGACCAAGATGTCCCCTAGGAGTATGGTCCTAGTCCTCAAGCCCACTATGTCAATCCCTGGAGGTGTTTAGTTATGGCTAAGAAGTTTTCATGGCTGTGCCTCCTGTGTGCTGTATCATGTACTTGGGTATTTTTACAGCATGTACAAATAAATATATGTATAGGAATATCCACTGCCATCCCTATCTGTACATGTGAGTATACTCCCACATGTCCTCCTCTCTTGGTTCAGCTTACATTATTGTTTGATACTACTATTGTTGCAGGATCATATATGTGATAGTATTTACCATTGTTGCTTTTAACCCTTGAGTACCCTTCAGTGTTTTTGTTTGCCTTGGTTATGTTGTGCTGACTTCTTCCATACTATGTGTTGTCTTTCCCTTCACCTAAGTTAGCATGTGTCTACTTTCTAGTTGATGATTTTCCCTCCAAGTCCCTCACATCCATGATAACCATCAAAGAATGTTTCTTTCTGTGTGTAAATTTTTACTTGACTTTTTATAATTGTGGTCTCATATAAGGAGCTCTGGTAGCATAGTGCCTAAGGCACTTGACTGCTAACCAGAAGGCTGGCGGTTCAAACCCACCAGCCACTCCTTGGGAAGAAGGTTGGGCAATCTAATTCCGTAGTGATCCTGCCTCAGCAACCCAAAGAGGGGTCACTATGAGTTGGGGCCGACTCGACGGCACATAACAACAACAACAAGAAGTCTCATATAATATTTGGCCTGTTGTAATTGAGTTATTTTACTCAGCTTTATGTCCTCCAGGTTCATCCAGGTAGTGAGAAGTTTCACGGAGTCATCAGTATTCCTTAACATTGTATAGCATTCCCTTGTGTATTTGTACCACAGTTTACTTATTCATTAATCCATTGATAGGCACTTAGGTTGACCTCCCCCCCCCCCTTTTTGTTTTTTGCTATTGTGAGTAGAGTTGCAATGAACAGGAGTATTCATATGCTTATTTGTGTCATGGCTCTTATTATTCTAGGATATATGTCTAGTAGTGGGATTATTGGATCATATGGTATTTCTGTTTCTAGCTTTTTAAGGAAGTGCCATAGAGATTGTACCATTTTACATTCTTACCAACAGTGTATGAAAGTTCTGCTCTCCCTACAACCTTACCAGCATTTATTGTTTTTTGTTTTATTGATCAGTGCCACTATTGCCAACATGAGATGGTATTTCATTGTAGTTTTGATTTGCATCTCTCTAAAGGAGCCCTGGAGCTCTCGTAGCATAGTGACTAAGACACTTGCCTGCTAACCAGACGGCTGGCGGTTCAAACCCACCAGCCATTCCTCAGAAGGAAGGTTGGGCAATCTTACTTCCGTAGTGATACTGCCTCGGAAACCCAAGGAGGGGTCGCTATGAGTCGGGTTTGACTCGATGGCACATAACAACAACAACAACAAAAAGGGGCCCTGGTGGCACATTGCTTAAGCGTGT